TAAGAGCCATTTTTATCTCATTAAGATGTTCTTCATGTCTCACTCAGTCTCTCTGAGAACTCTCTACAGAACTTGTTTCTCTCCCTCTTCTTTGGAGACTTTTAAGTTGTTTTACTACAGTTGAACCACCCAGCAAGACCAACAACCGGGCCTCCCATGCGATCTTTATATTGATTCCACAGCTTAGCAGTTTAGCTGAATGGTGAGAGGAAATTTGCCTGGGCCACAGAGCTCAGAGAATGACGATCGGTGCTCATGGCTTCTGGTTCACAACATGCTACTGACTTAACGCTAAGGACATACAGCAGGAGGCTACCAAATAGCATTTTAGAAGTGACTGATTTTGGTAAACAGCTAAAAGAAAATAAATGGAATTTAGTTGCTTTTACTCTGCTTTGTGTGCTTTTTGCATTGAAATACAGCAGGCCTAGAACACCGTGGTACAAAAACCTGTACGCATGCACACCTAATACACACGTGATCCAAATAAATACATGCTCAGATACTTTGCAATTAACAGACAAAATACAAAGTGTTTTACTAGGGATGACAAGCACTGTGCAATCACTTGTATAAACACAGAAAAGATGTGTATCATGCACAGGAAACACTGGTAAAATCTTGATTACACGCATCTTTATGAGTCCCCAGAATACAGACACCTCACTCCAAACAATTAAAAGAAATAAGCAATCAGAAATTAAGAGACCCAGAGGCAGATTAAGGGCAGACCCTTCAGACACAATGATCCAGACCCTGCGTGCTGCAGAGGGCCTCCCAACTTCCTCTTCATGTGAGCACTGGATACTGCCAGCAACAGCTCAGCTGATTGCCGCAGCTGCCAGCTGCTAGCCTGTTGCTAGACTTTTGGGGACAAGGAGAAGGCAACAGGATAAAACCTCTTTTACTTTTGGGATTTCTCCAGATTCGCAGGAAGCACTGTGGGGCTCCATGGCTACATCCATCTGCCTAGACAGACCGTTGGGAACTCGGCTCCTCCGGCGGAACAGAAAGTAAGCAAGCAGGGCTCGCTTCTCAGCGGGACACACAAGAAACCACAGACAGTTGCTAGAGAAGTTTAGGTTTAAGACTTCTCGATCATACCCGCTTTTTGGTTTTTTAGGGACATATCTGGATGAAATTTGTCATAAGAATGCATTTTTACACAACAGGTAGTAGTTCGGCCTATATTTCAGTTTACTAACATGTTCACTATTAAAACAACAATAAACTTTAATTGTAATTTTACCCGTGCTGCAATTTTTTAACTTCAGAAGTCTGTTTTACTCCAAAGTTTTCTGCTGAACTGCCACAGCACCAGCTGAATCTCTTTAAAGAACATAAGGTGTCTGGATGTGGTGTGCCTATTCACCTAGGTGATCTTCCCACACTTACCAGCTATCACTCCCCCGTTACAACACCCCATTTAGAGCAAACGGAGCCAGACAGTACTGAGCATTCAATTACAAACAAAATCAGAAGATATCTGGATACAAAGTTAAGGCACCAAATACAATAGAAAGTATTCTGGGGGGCAGTGTGTGTGTGTGTGTCAGGCATCCTCAGTCAAACTATTGACCACACTGTCAGCGACCAGTAATTTTAGATACAACCTATGGAACAACCATGATTATGCAGGACTTTACAGTGAACTGTGCTAAATATACCAACTCCTATCATGAGTGTCTGCAAATCAGAGAAAACTCACAATAAAAGTATTAACTCTCCGGTTTAAGTACATTTAAATGTTGTGTACTACCTAACGCATTACCCCATACCACTACTATGAAGAACTAAAATATACATCAAAATGGCTATTTGCTCCCTAAGCACCATCCTTCCCATACACTGCACACTAGTGTTTAGGTTTTTTCTCTCTACTAACTAATTAAAGCAGACTAAAATTCACACTCACAAGGGAATTAAATTAAGACCATTCAGGGAACAGTAATTCTGACATTTTATACATTCAGAATGCTTGGTTTTGCCAATTTACTGCTTTTAATGTATTTTAAAATATATATTTACACTTTGTTAGACACACAGGAAATACTAGACTTATCTATTAGAATTATATAAATAATGTTAATTTCTAACATCTCAAAAATGGGCTAGTATTTAAATTCTGTAAGCAAGCTTGAAGAAAAAGCAAACTATCATATGCAGAGACATAATTTTACAAAAATAACTTAAAATTAAATGTTTAACTTTTAAATTCGTACAGTAGTCTAATTAGACTAAATATTTCATGCTCATACACGCAGACATCCTCTTTTTCATTCCTCAAATTTACTTCATAAAATTTGTCCCAGAGCAGTCTAGAAATATGTAACAAAGCTGGAACATGACAGCACTCTGAACTATAAAAATGAAGTGCAAGAAACAATTTGCTCCAACTTCAAATGTTTCTACTTAACAGACTCTCCACTCTCTGGATATCAAAGATTTTTTTTTTTTTTTTTAAATACACAAACATAGTCCTATCTTATGTTCTAGCCATTCTGCCTGTTTAGTACGATTTCCGCCTAATTGCAAGGATCCCCAGGTCTCCCTCCAGGAGCTAGCTGAATTCAGAGGTTACATAAAAATTTGGAAAAGGCTAACGAAAACCAGAGTACCACCAGTACAGTGGATTTAAAAATGACTAGTGTCATGCTTGCTACAGAAGACATTAAATTTCAGTTCTTGTCAAACACACTCAGCTGCTGACCTACAAAAGACACAAAGCCCCTTTGTTACCAGCTAATCTACATTTTATCAGGCCTTTTGCTTTACTTTCTAGCACAAGACTACTGACAGGGTCATATCCTTAACAAACTACTCCATATTTTCTAAGTTGTCCTTTTGTATGTAGCATTGCGTATTAACACACACATCCCAAACCTAAAATTCACACACCCGTCAAATCCTCTCTCTCAATAGCATTACTTGGCAATATAAGATGTTGGTCACATTATTAATTATGCAGTGCTCCCCCCACTTCAATTTTTGGTACTAGGAAACAGAAGCCCCCACAAAATCCATGCTACCATGCCCAGACAATCCTGTATTACCGAGTGACTGCTGGACAGTTGTCAGCCCTTTCAGTCAGATGACAGAACGGCACAGCCAGTTCAAAGACGCACAAGTTGGGCGTACTAAAACACAAAGAGTGTCTGGAAATTGCACTCCCCTTACTCCAGTCTAATTCCAGGAACCTACGCTGATTTCAAAAAACTGGATCAAGTAACAGGATTTTGGAATGTGCCGATCTGATAACTCTGTAATTTATAAGTAAATAAACCTAACAAAAATTAAAGTTTATGCCAACTTCAAGTGTGAGGTCTATATGTAGCTGTTCAATGATAAAATACACAAGCTGTAAGTCACCCTTCTTTGAACTTTAAGAAAACATTCAACAACTGCATTTTTTTTTGAGTTCAGATGGTCTATTTTAGCATCTTTTGTCATGAAACAGCCCAAGAACAATGAGGAACACCACATCTCAATAATTTTTTCTAGCATTTTCTCATCTTCTCTCATTTTAGTAACGCAAACTGAGCCACAGGCCATCTATGTCAGAATGCTTTTTAAATTAAAATTATTTTGCAGATATAGAGAAAAGGAAGCAAAGTGAACTCAATGCTTCGGAGTGCCAAACTCCCCATCCATGTCACTGAACTAACAAAGGCGTCTGTACGTAGAATTCTCCCCCTGACAGCACTTCCTCAGTTCCTTCCAGTGCCATGAAGGACATTTCACAGAAACTTCTCCCTGCTAAGACGGAAGAAGCATCCATGCACTGTAATCCTACACCATACCGAGGTTTAAAAAAACTTGAGAGGGAAGAGTCACATCCCTGGTTGGCAAATCCAAACAGAACACCAAACAAACAGGCCTGGTCAGAGTGTGCAGCTACTCAGAAGAAACATTCCAGGCTACCAAGAAAAATTCACATTGCAATGCGTTGTGGACAATACAGGGCTCATGCCATCATTTCAGAGGAAAAACACAGCTCCATCTGTCACAGGGTCTGATAGTGCAGTGCAGCTGCCATGGACACATGGTTAAAAGTACAGCTGGAAACAGCCACAAAGAAGAACGCAGCATGTGAAAACACAATTACTTCTGTCTGGGCAAACTACTTCTTAACTTCCTCTTCCTCACCTTCCAAAAAAGGTTTGAAGAACAAGCTAAACCACGTTTAGAACTCAGAACTGCACAATTTTCAGCAGAGAAAAGCCTCAGAAAACATGAGTACATAAAACACAACTGCCACAGTTAGTATTGTCTGAACACAAATTTTTCATGCACAAAACAAGTGCTATAGTCACTACAGAAATGTTATTCATCTACCATCAAATAATACGTTTAAATAGCAAGACCATCAATTGTCTTGAAAGTACTTGGCCTGCACTATGCAGGACTAAATCATTTCATTGATATCAGTCCCTTCTGACTTTTCTTTTTAGGATGTTACTGAATTCATACTTGCTTGGTCCTTTTCATACAGCCACTGTGTTGCATTTTTCAGCCTGAAACTGTCCCAAAGTGAAAAATTACTTTTTTCTTATAGGACAGAAATAGCAGATTTGAATAGCTGTAAGCACCTCATAAGTGAAAGCTGCCTCTCTAGTTTTCAGTAATGCAACTTAAGTATTAAAATCAAAATTAGAGACTCCTTGCTATTGTAATTTGGGTAATTCCCTTTCAAAGTCTCTTTTGGCCCACAACTGTAGAAAGCATGCCACAAAAACAGACAGAGCTCTCTGGATAGTAAACTTGTGTCAGTGATGGGCCAAAGCTGATTGATAACCTGATTTCCTGCTCTCCCCTCTCTTCCATGGACACACATTCCACAAGCACACATCTATCTGCAGGAAGTGCAAAGGAAGACAAACATCCCTAGAGTTAAGGTTATTTCCCAGAATTATTTGATGTATGCTGCATACTATATTTAATGATAATCCTTCTCCTACCCAACACAGATTTTAGCTTAGGCAACACAACTTCATTAATAGTTTTAATTCAGTGGTAGACTGGTTCTTGACTAATATTCCATGTGTAAGAAGCTGCACAGGAAAAAGGTAAAGCTGGAGGTACAGTTAACAGACACAGTGTAAATCCTTTCTCCTATACTTAACACTGATCACTTAAACATGACTTGCGTAACACAGTAAGCTGTCAGACTACACAGAACAGTGTATCTGATCTGGTGTCCTCAGCCAGCAAGTGCTGGAGATCTCGGCTGTTAGCAAAAATTAAGAGGAAGCAAGGGAAGGAGGATTAAACACATTAGAAAACACCAGTAAAAAGTAGTTTGGACTTGAAGACACTTTAAAATATACATTGCCTTCCCCCCTGCCCCTCCAGCCCTGCCCCAGTTTAGCCAAGATGAGTAATTGCTGGAGAAGGCACAAGTGGCTAAAAGTGTGCATCCAGGGAGGAGTGCAGTCCTACCAGCTTACTCCCATACCTGAATTCCTATGTAACAACTTCTGTAAAGAGTCAGAAATGAGCAGAAAACAGCTGCTCAAAGAAGGGAGAATTAACATCAGCATTTTGGTCACCAAATCCTGACCTATAATACACTTAAGTCCATTACTACTAAAGCAACTGGAACACAGAACAAAGATATGCTACTGTTCAGACTTAAAAACCCCCAACCAAACACCACCCAACCCCACCCCCAAAAACCAAACCCCAAAACCACACAGAAAAAAACCCCACACCTATGGATGTAGGTAACATCCTTTCCCACATTTTGAAAATAAGAGTAGGCTGAACAGTATTCCTTAAGTAGAGGAAAGGATCACGGAGACAACTGAGCGTAGCACAGAATTAGTCTGGAATTCATAACCTTCACACTGTCACTTCACTATTTGCAGAAGCAGAGAATAAATATGTATCATGCACTGATATTTTAGGAGTTGAAATTATGTTTACAAAGCACTTGAAAGTAAGTTTTACCTGCTTTAAAAGTTAGTTTGAACCCCACATATACAACCTGTTTATGTTACGTCTAACGGGATTTGAAAAATTCCTGCACTTAAGGACATTTTCCTAAGTTCCTTACTCCCATTTTATTTCATAAAGCACTGGTAAGAGCTCTGCTTTACAAACCACCACACTAAGCTTCAGAGCACAACACTTCACTCCAGAGAACAAACTCCTCTGTCAGGATGTGTACCTTCCATAAGCTAAAACAAGTAGATCTGGGCTGTTCACAACAGCAAATGAACTGTATTCTCAGCAGCTGGTATCTATCACTGTAGGCTAATACAGAAAGCTGCTGAGGCCCTACCAGTGAGGCAGAGAAAAACTTCCACCCTTAAAAGAAAACAAACTAAACAACTGTCACTTCTCCTTCCTCTCCCCCTCTACACTTGTGTATTTAGTTCCACATTTACAAATAAAGCTCACAGGTGTATATTTTTAATGAGAGTGTGTTTAGCAGGTTTTTTTTTTCAGGAGTTTTGAGTGGATTTTTTTTTTCAGCAGAAGGGCCCAGGGTCATTTAAACTAAGGATCAATAGTAGTTAGCAAAAGCTAACACATGATCAAGAGTTACTAAATCTAGAAAAACTCCCATAGTAAGACTAAACTGTAATTAAATGAGAACATAAAAGAATCCAAACAAGAACCAAACCACTAGGGTTCCATCAAAGTATCTCACTGGAGAGACGAATGATCTTTAGAACTGCAAATGTGATGACACACCTTTTCACAGCTTGTTCTGAACAACTGAACAGTTCTCAATCTGTTTTCTTTACAGTATCTATTTACTTCAAATACAGAAATACTGGATGTATTCACCTACATTAACACTGACATGTATTTTAGGGTACAGCGATCTAAATAAAGATCCAGCAATAACAAAAGTTACGGCTTATTAACTGTATAAAATCGGCACACCATTATTTTTCAGTTTACCATTCTAACCCACAAAAATAACACCTACGGCTGATTATCAGAACAAGCGCTATGCACATAAAATATAATTTCATAAAAACATACAAGTAGTTACCCTTAGAAAACAGAAAGGAGTCCAGGCAGGAAGATTCCAGATGTTGCATAAAGTGTGGTTATCCAAGAGTCTCGAACTATTCAAGAGGCCAAGCCATCCACCGAGGTAGGATGATGTGACTTAAGGGGGGAAACAAAACAAAACCAGAGTATTTCATTACCACGTGAATTTTTTTTTTTTTTAACACCAAAATTCAATACAACTTTTTAAACAATTTTTGCTAAATCCTACTAAAACAGTTAAACTGAGTTAGAAAAACTGAAGTTCATGAATACACTGAAATAAGCGGACCTAACAATTTCACTTACGAACACACAGAATGTGGAAATTATCCTTCATAAATGAAAACTACAAAAGAGAATGCTGACCCTCTAAGTCTGAGACTTTAGAATAAGAACTTGCATTGATACTTCTTCAGGTTACCAAACACTGATTTACAGTTGTAATCATCTCAGAAATCATGTATTAGGAGAGACAATACCATGGACTGTAAAGAAGTACATTTCAGAATTATCCCCTAACGCTTACAGGGTGCAAAAGGAGTTAAGATTTTTATTAAATTCCCTAACTTTCCTCATTTTCAGCACACACAAAAACAATCTGGAAAGGTAGCATAGGCAGGATTGCACATAATATTCAGCATGGCATCATTTTTATCAAAACCCTGTTAAAGCAACATCTGCATTTTGGCTAGAGACCACATGGATTAAATCATGGATTAGATCAAGGCACTAGAAACTCTGGGAAATGTGAAAAGGAGGAAGTGACAGTAAACTATGCACTAGACTAGGAGATGTGGAGGGAATTCCATGATCCATTCTCTCAAGGTCTCAACTCCACCTGAAGAATCGAAGTTTCTTAATTCCAAGAATTAAAGCCCTTACACAGGCTAACAGCCTACCATCTGGATTGTATTAACATGTTTGTTTGTGTTCGACATACACACATATAGACACCTGCCCCCTGACTACAGCAAACCAATTACTTCACAAGTTCACCACAAGAGCAAGGATCAGTACTTATCCAGATAAACACAGTCCTTCATGATCAAGAGTTCATACGTTATTTTACAAATCTTAAAATAATACATAGTGAAAGGCAGTCTTACATTTAGACAGGTGAGCAAGTAAATGAACACAGTTCATCTTACACAGCAACTCATAGCCTGATGCTAGAAAAGGGCTCCTCCACTTAACAGAATCTCGGAACTGTAAGGATGTAGTAAAAGAGCAGTAAAACGCCCATCACCTAAGAACACCAAGGCTAAACCACAGCAATGAACACATTAATATCTCCCTCCTCCTTCTAGAAGCTGACTTCCTTCCCATCATAGAGATCCGTGCTACTTGGAAATAAAAGAATAAAAACAAATAGACAAGTGAAGATTCATAGCCTGTTTGCTTCGAAACAGCAGGACTTCAGAAGGTGACTACTGAGGTTTATCAAAATGTACTTGCTAGGTCACAGGGGGAGGTGTACATTTATGGCATCTTCTATATAATGAATATAGAAGAACAAATGTTTTAGAATGTGATGTCTTTTTAGCATTACAGAATTCTAAAAATGCAAACAAGTGTACTGCCTGTTGAAAAGTTTGAGTTCAGCATCTTATTTAAAAAAAAAAAGTTTAAAACATTGATAAAAAAAAAAGTTTATAACCTTAATGGTATTTTACTAGTCCGACCATTTGCTAGAAGGAGCTGAAGTCCAAGTCAACAAATTTAATTCCTTTATTATATACTTTAAAGGACTCCTACAAACTGTTGAGGTTATGATTTTTCCCCTACGTGATTTCACACTGGCACAAGTATCAGGAAGAAGTACAGAGGTAAGGTTACCACGTTTAGTTTTTACAATCTGTTTTAAAAAAAAAAAAAAGTATAGAAGACGCACAGCAGCTGTAAATCTGTAGATTTATAGTAGACTTTTTTCTTTCTTTCATTTTCTTTCACTGGTTTCCCTTGCAGTTTCCTAGTGCTGTTTACAGGTCACTTCAGAAACCTGAGATTAGAGCATTCATTTTCAATGTTAATGGTGTTTTCCATATTGCAGTTAACTGCCTGGCCTAAAGAATCTCAGCTGAATGAAAACGAAGCAGAAAACTACTGCAGCTCCTACCTATGTTTTTTGGAAATGAATTGTTCCAACATAGTTTGAAAAAATTCCAGGCCTACCTAGGGCAGAAATTACTAACTGCATCTATTAGTGACACGAATTTACGATACGCAGAGATGAGATGAGGCTTATGCTCCTCCAGCCTTACCCACCTACTTGTAGTTCAGACTCACATACACGTTTACTGAGACAAACGAAACCTGGTATCAAAAACGTAACTGCAGCACATATACAAGTCGTAACTCTCAAGAGGCAGCGATCGCAAGTAGCAGAATTAAAAAGCTGCGATTCAGGGAAAGCCTCTTTCCTGCCACCCTCCCTGCAGCCACTCCCGAGCGCACAAGTACTAACGAAGCCCAGGGGAGCCTGCCACCATTTGGCCTTTGTGGAAGGCGACTAGTTGGTACTTCCTGCAGGCGGCCGCCCGCGCCCCCCCCCGCGGCAGTGGGCAGCAGTAACCAGAGACAACCTTGGGCTTCCCGAGCTGCGAAAAGTTACACTCCTCCCCCTTCCTCCTCCCCAGCTAAAGAGAGACCCCGGCCAAGCTAATTATAACTGCGCTAACAACTTCCACCGCAGTCCTCGCTCCTGGCGCCCCGGTCGCCGGCCT